CTTGTGGCTTATTCCATGTATTATTGTGAAATCATGGCTTGGGTTGAGGTAGAAATTTAATCACTCTGTGTCTCCCTCATTTGGTCTATATGAATTAATAGAGGGGAAAGCTATCTAGATCTTTGAGAAAAGGTGCAAAACGAACCAACACAGAATAGAAACCCCACAGATAAGTTTCTAATGGCAGGCACAACTGTATTTTACAGTAGAGAAAAATACTGTATTTTACTATAAATTGGTAGAGGTCCATAATATTGGTTTAAGTATCAGTGTTCAATATTCTGCACTTCTATCACTGCCTTCCAAATTCATGCTGGTTTCTGTGAACCCTAATTATGAGGGGTTCTTTGGTTTGTTTGTTTTGTTTTCAACATTTTGTATTATTGGCCCAAACAAATGTATTTACCAATCTTCTCCTTAGATTTTTGTGGCGAACGTTAGCCTCCTGATCAATGTTATTATCTGTCAAAGTGTATATTTTTAACATTATTTCACACACGGAACAAACCTCCATGACTGGATTCTAAATTGACAAAGTGTTGATAAAGTCAGAGAAGCCAAACACACCTTGCTCCCTTTTGGACAGCGATTTCTTTGGTTGCTCAGAAAAAAAGTAATGATGTTTACAATGTATGCCAAGGGTTTCCATGCCTATCAAACGATGGCAGTTCTAATTTTACTCAAAATTGTAGTATAATGGCCTGAACCTTGTTGCTAAGACACAATAGACTTTGGTTTTATATTCCTGCCTTCACATTGGCTAGATACTGTACAGGTTTAGGCAAAATGACTGTGTTGAAATTGGTTGTGGCATTTTGCTCTGGGTTTCATACCAGAAGCATCTATTTTCTACCAGACCGTTACAACAACTTGCTGTAAATAGTCAAAAGTTAATATATGATGTGTTGACATTTGAAAGACAAAGTACTTTGAATATTTCATTTTTTAAAAATAAAGTTGCAAACAATTAGCCAGCCTTGAAGTTTTTTTTTCTGTCCATTGATCACAATGGTTTGGGGAAAAGTGGGATAATAACACTGAAAAACAGTGCACACATGTGGAATCAGTGCTCACAACTTTATGTACTTTTTTTTTTCTTGTATAGTTTCTTCTGCCTTAATGATGGCCAAATGTGGCTCTAGTTTCGTGCCTCAATTTGCTGGACTCCAATTTAAAATACCAAGAAAAGGAAGAACATTTAATTTACGGTTTATTTGGAACATTCCAAGATAAAAAGAATTCCATGTTACAAGGGAAACAACCTGGAACATAGACTTGCATTACTTTTTATAGTTTGCACAGTAAAGATATTTCAAAGAAAAAAATGATTCAATTAGAAAATCAATAAAATAATAAACACTCCTGTGAGCCAGATTCAATTCCTGGTTGCTAAATAGGCAGATCTTTGGACATTTTTAACATAAAGAGATTAACAGAGTTGGAAGGGACCTTGTAGGTGATCTATTCCAACTCCCCACCCAAAAAAGAGACCCTACACCATTTCTGACAAATGGCAGTCTAGTCTCTTCTTGAAAGTTCCCAGTGATGAAGCGCCCACAACTTCTGAAGGCAACTTCTTTTCCATTGGTTGATTGTTCTCATTGTCAGAAAATTCTTCCTTATGATAAGGAAATGGTTGACATTTCTTCAATATGTTTTTCTTTTTTGCTTCCCAATCTAACTTTCAGTCCAGACCCAACCTTGCTTAGCCTTTTCAAGTATCTACAACCTACTTCTTAGCTAGATTGTTCAATAGAGGTTGATTTTTAGATAGGGAAAAGAATATCTTAAACATAATGTAAGTTAATACAGGATTATATTGTCTGCCAACCCTATCTGCCAAAGTGAGAATTCAGTGTGGATCTACCCAAAGGCCTGGAGCCAAATTTAACCCAGGATTTCTGGTTTTTATCAAAGGTTTGAGTAGGAGAGTTACATCAGAAATAGCAATAAATCAAATCAAATGCTCTCTTACATCATAAAATAGAATCTTGTAGATTATACTTTTACCAATAATTTCCTTTTCAAATTACTACCAAAAAAAAACCCTCCTTATATTCTTAGGAGGAGAAAGAATGAAATTACACAAGCTACAAAACAGAAAAAGAGGAGGCAAAGTAAACTTTGTCAAAAATGGGGAAAGGTAACAATAAAATTATATTCTTTGTCCAAAAAAAGCAATATTATACTTACAAATAGTGCTATTTTAATACAATAGCAATTTTGTACTTTATATACAATTAATAAATTAAAAACAACTAGCAGACCACCAATGAGGAAGAATTCAATGCCAGCTGAAAAGTAGCCGTGGACTTCTGTGATCCCATGAAGTAAATTATCTGAGCTAATTTCTAAATCAGCTGCAATCTGCTTTAAAAAATGTGTAAAAAGAACTCTATTTCTTTTGAAATGCTGAGGCTCTGTAGATGGCATATTTGCCTATTTGCAAGCACAACTGTTTCACCTACTTTTTAGCTGTAAACAACGGTGGTGTGCTCTTTGTCAAAATAAGTCCCCAACACTTTTGAATGGGTTAACGGAGAGGCAGTTTCTGTAAGCAACACCAGAATGTTTCCTTCCTGCCTTCCTTACAGGATTAGGCCAGTAATTTCTTCAAACAACTGGTTCTCCAAACTGCTTAGAATATTAACAACCTGTTCTAGCAAATAGGTGCAAACTGGTAGAATCCCACCCCTGCATACATACATACACACACACACACAACGTAACATATGTGGAGGATGGGGGAAATAACATGCTATGATCCACAGGATCAATTAAGAGTCAGACATGACTTAGTGACTGAACAACAAAAAATAACCATCATAGAATCCTATAATATTCTTAGCATTATCTTGTCCACACCTAATTTTATATTCAGGAGGTGTGTTTCCCACATTACATTGAGTTTTCAGGTTATGAAAGTTCAACTCTTGTCTCTGGCCAATGTGAGCCGCTTCTTATCAGAATCCACATTCTTGCTTGTTAACTTCATAGAAATAGAAACATCAATCAAAGGCCCTCCTTGTAACAGAAAACAATTACTCAAAGGAGATATTCTCCTGCTCCCACCAGGCTTATCATCTTGCCTATGCAGGTTTTAGAGACTGGCAAGCAAATGGGTAGCAGGAACAGGAGGGAAAACATAAATCTCTTTCTGAAGATCTCAGGAAATTGAAATCAGCATCCATCCCTGTGGAAATTAAGTGGAAACAATTCAGCAAAGTCTTCATTGCTCTGAAAATCCAATTTTCTCAGCTTGGGACTGTTGTAATTGCTATCTTCCAATTGCAGACTCCCAAATCTAGAACTGGAAGTGATTGGATTTATATCCTAAGTTGCATTAACAGAGGGATACAATCAAGATCAAGTGAGGTACTAATACCACTCTATAAAGGCTTAGTAAGGCCACACCTAGAGTACTGCATCCAGTTTTGGTCACCACACTATAAAAAATATGTTGAGACTAGAAAAAGTATAGAGAAAAGCAACAAAGATGATTACGGGACTGGAGGCTAAAACATACAATGAACGGTTGCAAGTACTCAGTATGGCTACTCTAGGGAAGAGAAGGACCAGGGGAGACAGGATAGCAGCCTTCCAATATTTGAGGAGCTGCCACAGAGAGGAGAAAGGAGTCAAGCTATTTTTCAAAGCACCCAAAGGCCAGACAAGGAATAATGGATGGAAACAACAAGGAGAGATTCAACCTAGAAATAAGGAGAAATTTTTCTGACAGTGAGAACAATCAATCCATGGAGCAGAAGTTGCCTTTAGAAGTTGTGGGAGCTTCATCACTGGAAGCTTTCAAGAAGAGACTGGACTGCCATCTGTCAGAAATGTTTGTTTGTTTATTTGTTTGTGTTTGTTTGTCAAGTGATTATAAGATAACAGGTATAAGTATAAACATAGTTATGAATACATGAAATGGATACATATAAGAAAAATAAAAAGAAACAATAGGACAGGGATGGTAGGCACGTTGATGCACTTATGCACTTAGGAAAGGGGTGAGGTCAATAGTAGACAGTCTAAAGTTAAAGTTTTTGGGGTTTGGTGTGGGGTCACCTGCTTGGGTGGGGTGTTGGACTAGAATACTAGATGACCTACAAGATCCATTCCAATCTCTGATTATCTGTTACATCTGTTATATATATATTATAAAATATTCACTAGGAAAAAATAGATACATTCTTGCTAGGTATGTGTGAATTATAGAAAGTGAATATTTTGATGATCCATCATTGATTAAATTAGAAATTCGATTTTTTCCACTGAGTCCTGCGAGGGAATCCCCACAGGAAAAGAAGAGGGAATAGAAGAAAAGAGCAGTTTTCATTCATTCACAATAATGTGATTTCTAAGCTGCATTTCTATCTGTAGGTCCGCCCATGGGATTCAAGACGCATTCACTAGGGGGCGCTCTGCCCCTCTATTTCTGTGGTACTTTCGTCTCAACCGGAAACCGGAAGTAGTGCTTTCGTGGAGCCTCAACTTGCCTACTACCCTTTCAATGCCACTCAAGTGGCCGGTACCATAGACATAAAAATTAGAGTGATACTAACATTAGATAATAGGATTGATATATATATTTTTTGTTAGAAGTGTGGCCATTTTAGAAATATTCATAATGATCACATCGATCGTAATAATAATAATAAAGTATTTTTTTTTTATTTCGCTGGGTTCTTAACGACTTTGGACGGTTCTGAATGAACTCAAAGGTCTCATTTGCCTTCTTGCCATCACACTGAACGAGAGGACGTCCCTGGTCCAATCACAGTCTCGGCCGCCGCCTCCAAGAACCGCCCACAAAACACCCATCGACATCGGGAGAAGCGGGGGGTGGTGGTCAACTCTACAAATTCGTACGTCTACATCCAGCGCCTCCCCCTCCTTCCACTCCCCGTGACGTCACGGCACTCCCTTCCGCCTCGCCCCAGCCGGGCGGGATGAGCTCATCTCCTTTCTTCGGGAGGGAGGAGCCGACAGGCGGAAGTGACGCACGCGGGCGCGCGAGGCCGGAAGCGACGCAGGCGGCTGCCAGGCGGTGGAAGCGCACCCGCTGAGGCGATTCTCTCTCTCTCCCCGTCTTTTCTCAGCCCGGCTTTGCTCCGCCGCCGTCCCCGCTCCCCAAGCCATGTCGGCGCCCGGAGGAGCCGGCGGAGAATTCGGCAACCCGCTGCGAAAGTTCAAGCTGGTTTTCCTCGGCGAGCAAAGCGGTGAGGGGGCCCCGCGCGTGGTGGGGGGGGGAGGGGAGGGGCTGCCCCGCCACCACCACCACAAAAAAAAACCCACACCTGACGGGGTGGGGGAGGGGTACGTGGGGGGAGGGGACGAAAATAGGCGACGAAATGCAGCGGGGGGAGGGGAGGAAAGGGGCGGCGAAGCGTCGGGCTAGGATGGTTGTGGGGTGGGGGGGCTTGAGCCGGGTCTGGTCCTTGCGGGGATTATTATTATTTTTTAGCTTTTATTTTATTTTTTAAATGTCTCTTTTTTAATTTTCATTTTAAGGGGTTGTTGTAAGAGAGAGTGGGGGGGGGAGCATACGAATCCTACAAATAGAGACATAAACGGCTTAGGATTTTGTCCCCAGTTCCTGTTTCTTGTATTTAAACTTACGTTTTATTCTTGCTTCTGTTATGTTGTAAGCTTTTGACAAACAAAATAAAGTAAAATAAAAGGATAGGGGAGGAGTTGCTGGGGTGGCTGCGGTTAATCTTGCAGATTAACAAGAGCTGGAAGGGACCTTGTAGGTCATCTAGTCCAACCCCCTCCGGCCAAGCAGGGAAACCCCTACACCATCTCTGACAAATGGCATCATCCTCTTGCCGGTTCCCACCCACCGGCCACCCGTTGTCCTTGCTTCGTTTTCAGATTATTTTTCCATGTTCATCCCGTCTTTTTATGCTTCTGTTTTTTTAAAAAAAAAAACTGTTTTATCACTGGTATTTGGTGTGCCTCGCATTGACTATATACTATAGGGAGGAAGGAGCGCCAGTTTGGTTGTAGGGATTGAAAGCACCTGCTTGGAAACTGGGAATAATAGAGCTTGGAAAAGGGGCCTTGGAGGTCTTCTAGTCCAGCCCCCTGCCCAAGCAGGAGAGCCTATATACCATTTCAGACAAGGAGCTGTGCAGTTTCCTCCTCTTCCAAGTTCTAATCCTGCCTTAGGTATGAAGCCAGCTGGGTGATCTAGGGCCAGTCACATTCCCATAGTACTGATGATGTTACCTGGTTTGGGTAATGAAGCATCTGCAAGAAAACAACCAAGCTCAGAGAGTTTAAGGACT